CCGGCGCAGGGGGGATTTGATCCGGGGGGGGGGGCCCCCCCCCCCCCTCCGACGAACAGAATCAACTCTTACAGGACCAAAGTCAATGCACAATCCCAACTCCTGATTGTAATACATTTTTGCTAAAGCAAGGAGAACTCAGGTAGCTCAAGCTACCTTTCGTGATTAAATCCAACAGCACCGAATAAATGCTATGATATAGGGTCTTGTGCTCCACCATGTTCCAAAGCGCAACGTCTTCGTGGATGGAACGCTGGTCCAGAATGAGGCGAAGCAAACTCTCCAGCCCAATGAAAAAACTTCTCCTTGCTACTCACTTTCTGTGCGTTGCTTGGCAAACCGTATGTGTTCGGCAGCCCATTCTGCATAGCAGTAATATCATGTAGTTTCCACATGTTCCATGTTACTTCCGTTCTCTAGCCGCCTGAACTAGGTTCAGCACGAACAGTGTACATCATCCAATCTGCATCTTGTCAACACTGAGCGTCAATCAGCAACAACCTGCTCATATGACAGAGTGCACGTCTCCTCACGAAAAAAACAATTACAATGTTGCTGGCCTTGCTGCGTGTGCTCGGGCGTCAGGAAAGTTTGAACAAGGAAACTGAAACAATCTCAAACATCTATACACATATATAATGCAACGCACATTTATCATGGCTCTTCCAGGGCCAATTCTAATAGGCTCCGAGTGGGTTTCAAGCCGAAACCCCATGGACTCCCACCCCAACCAATGCCCAGCCCCCTCGGGGGCTCCAGCACCTGCCAAGGCATGCACTGCGGATGGCCAGGTGGCGGAGAAAAGCAAGGTCTGTCGTTGGTTCTTGGGCACCATCAGCCCAACAATCTCCTTGGACAGTGTGGGATCGCTGTGTCGTGACAGAGAGTGACGTTGACGTTGCCACCGAGTGGCACGTACCTGGGGCATGAAACCCATATCCAGCATGCGGTCAGCCTCATCCAGCACCAAATATCGCACACCACGCAAGCCCTGTGCAGCAACGAAGCGGCCGGGAACATGCACCTGGGGGTGTGTGGTTTTTGGGGCCCTAATGCAAACCGGTGTGATCTGTTCTGCACAAACATCCCCAGCAAAAAACATTCAATGTTGAAATCTAGCATCATTGCTTTGGTGAGACTGTTGGTACGTTCAAGAATTTGCAATTAACCAGTGACAGCCCACGAAACATCAACAAAACTCGGTTGGACGACGCCCACCTGTCGCTCCCATGGCGTCTCCCGTTTTCGCTTCATCCCATGGCTCCACCCGCCGCCCTGGTGCTATGCCCACCGCGCCGCAGGGAGGGATGCACCGAAGAACGCTGTTGAAAATAGACCATGAAACGGAACAGTTGAAGCTGGTTACCTGAATGGGTATCAAAGCTGGAGACCATTTAAACATACACACACACACAGACTTTAACCATCTTATGCAATACATGAAGGACAAACACACAATGATGGATTTGTCATGAGTAGTCCAACAAGACTGCTCATCCGATGGTTTTTGGATTGCGCACTTAATAAGCCACATAGCACCGTGTAATCTGCTACACTTTTGTATGCTAGTGTTGGACTGAAATGATGTATTCAGTACAAAACATAGAGGCAAGCAAAGGTTGGACCACCAAAGCATAAATAATATGTGTTTCAAGGGTGGGTTTTATTGCAAGAAGCCGTGGTGTCCCACAACCCTCTTAAGATCCAAAGAGCTTGTGCCATAAAATTGTGAGAACTTTGTGCTCTCACTTTCCAAGTTGCAAGGAAGGAACACATTATCATTGAAGTAATGGTTGAAATGCGTTAAAGCCGAAGGAAGGACCGCCGAGAAAAACGGCCCGCTGCATATCAGTATGGGCCTGTACGCCACCCACCGTCGGACGAATCTGGGTTAGATCCAGTCGAACGATGATCAGCCAGCGCAGGGATCCACACTGTCGACTTGTCTGTGCCTAGAATGGATATAATGGGCTCACGTATATAGGCGAACCGTGACTTTGCAACAACAGTGCAACCCGTGACTTAAAAATAGTCAGCTCCTGGTGTTGAACAAAAAATATCGCAAACTAATATATGTACAAAAAAAACATAGATCATATAATCACATATATATATAATAAGACATATATCATGATACAGTATATCATAAGACATCATAAGCCATATAAAAATGTTACTTTGACGTGTGCTATCATCATACTGACTGCGCGCCTATATCAATTCCCCCCTCACTCGTTGGCTCCGTGCCGGGCGTTCCTTGGGGCTCCACACCACACAGGGTCTAAAGCAGTGAACGTCCTCAGCCAACGTGCCTCCACCGTCGAGTCCAGCAGCAGCTCTACCTGTGAGCTGATGGAGCTGGGGGAAAACCATGAGGTGAGGTCCCAGATTCATCGGTGAAAGGAGGGAGAAGAGGGTTCTTTCCATTACATGGATTTATTTTTCCGGGAGTCGTGCAAATCTGAAAAGGACAGCAGTCTTGTGTTGGTGGTTGCTAGTCCAGGTATGGTGTAGACCAAAGATCGTTTAGCGAGATGGGCAGCTTTTGGGTGCAAACCAAAAAATAGCCATTATCAGCCATAGCGCACTTCTCCCGCGAATGAATTTGCTCAAGCCTTGACCCTGATAGTTTGTCCAAATCACCTTAAGGCAAACACTGCAGGATGTCCTTGTCCTTCTTTTCTGATGGATTCTGCCTCTCTCGTTGTTGACTCAAACACTAGCCCTCAACATATACACCATGGAGCCACTGTGCGATATTGGATATATATAATTATATATACCTAGAGCCTTTGTGAGCTTACTTTTTTCTAGAAATCCTGAGCGCCCACATTTGTCCAAAGGGTTGATAATTTCATAAAGTTTCTCCACTTGCGTGTTTCTAGGCTTCGCCTTGAAATCTGGATTGCCTAGAAATAAGTAGGTGGTCAGGGGGTCCAAGTATATATAAAAAATAGGTTAATAAATATATATATATATACACATAAACGCGCACACACACAAACACAAACGTGTGCCACATGCGCGTTCTTCGCCCTCCAGTCCTCCACCAACTGCTGGACCAAGTCAGTCTGATCTACCAAGGGCTCAGACCAATCTGACTCCTGCGACGTCTACGGCTGTCCACATCTCACAGAACTGCGTTTGAGTTTGAACTACCGTGTGTCTCCCAAAACTACATATCCCTTTTTGGAGTCCTGGTGGCTTGTGTGAATGTTTGGCAAAAAAAAAACGAGGTCAAAGCCTTGCGTGGCTGACCACGTTGGGTGCGAGGACAAAACACTCGGTGCAAGCGCTTGAAACATGTTGTCCTCGCTGCTATTGAACAAGAGCTAGGGCCTGTTTTAGGAAGGAAACTCAAAACAAACTGAAAAAGCACCCCGACACAACATCTCTTGATGCCAGGCTGCCCTTCCTTAGGGAAACGGGCCAACGAGGGGACATTGCCCAAACAACGCAGCGCAATGCGCGGAACGGGTGCAGCGCTTCAGCCCGCCGTTCCTTCTCGCCGTGGCCCTTGTGCGCTGTCTGGCTCTTGCGCGCCGAGACATGCATCAGCAGCAGGATTCCGGCAGCCTGATAAGGCACGGGTGGTCGAACTCCAAGCCGCTTCCCCCGAAGAATGCGCAACGTTTTAAGGAATCAAAGTTTGTATGGAGCGAGGTGGTTTTGAAACACTCATGGACCTGAAAAAAATAAAACGCAAGCCTTCCAAGTTTCTTTCACAACCATGTCCCATTTGAGCTTCGCGTTCTTCATCTCAAGTCCCGGATGAGTACCGCGGCACATCACCGGTGCACTCTCAGCTTGCTCTGCCGGGCTCGACCGATGGAAGAAGGGAGTATATATATATAAGAAAACCCTGTTCAATAAGGAGGGCCTTATTAAGGCTACCCTTACCTGCCTGTGTTTTCTTCTTTGCGAATTCCTTGTAATCCCTTGGTTTCTTCCTTCATAAAAGCACCTATGTTCCACTCGGCCTTCAACCCACAGCATCCCACCCCGTGTAAATAAGTACATCATATACCACACAGGTTTTGACTCGATACCAGCCTGCGGGAAAATGGCCTTGGCATTGTCTGGATGAAAGCCATTGAAGACCTTCACCTGTAGTCCGCTCGACCTACCCATGAGAACACGTCCTGCACGCCAAGCAAACCATGCATGCGAGCAATGAAGCTTGAAACAACCCTGATCACCGGTATCAAAATAATGGAATGTCAATGATGTCAGAACATGTCAAAGCAACACCGATAGATTCAAACATTTCAAACCCACAAAACATATATATAATATATATATATATATACACATGATGTCTGGTCTGGTCCCTTGCTGTTTGTTGCATGCAACTTCACGGGTTCTGCACTTGCTTGAGCAAATGCACCCCTTCACGCAGCAAAGCTGTGGTATTAAGGACCAAACCTGCACCATCAAACAACGTAGAAACTGTAAGAGCAGAATATCAGGAGTATGTGCCATAAAGGTCTGGTGCCCTGATGCCAACTCCTAAAACCACCCGTGGATCCTGATCCAAGATTGTTCCACCACATGTGCCACCCACCTACATTTTACAACCCTCGACTGGGAGTGCAAACTGGTGGCTGCTGAGAATACGTCGAAAGGCCTGAAGAATCAAACAAGCATGGCTCCACACAGTCTGACAGTGCGAGTCGAACGTCAGGGGGCGTGCTAAGTGTTATTCCAGGTTGGAACCTCCCCAGCCCCTCGACACCAACATGGGATAAAAACCTGTTTGAATTGATGTAATTTCCTGTAGTGGCAACCAGTCCACCCAAAGGGGCCCACGACAAGGCAATGGAATCTACCAGCTAGCCCTGAACAAACAGCTCAGGTCGTTGCCAGCCGTAGCTTAGCAGGCAATCCAATGGGCGCGCGCCCTGAGAGGGTACAGGACGAAAAAACATGATTTGTTGATGACACCCACCCCAAAAATGACCAGAAACATCCATCCTGGAGGGTCGACATATTTACCTTGGATTGGTCTGTCATATTCACTTTCACAATAAACGGCTTATATATTGATCTTTCTGCTGACTCGTGGTTGCTAAGCAATAAAAAATCAAGAATATGGGACCACAACCACCAACATCACCAACAGTGACTAGATGGACCGCTTTTCGGATGTGCACCAGCTCCGAAGTGTTCAACCAAAAAAAGGGATAGTGTGTGTGTGTGTGCGTGTCAACCTCTGTAACTAAGAGTTTTGAATGCGGGGGGCACCGGGGTCTCAGAGGAGACCCGTGTAAGCGTACCTGCAATTTTAATAACTGTTTAAAGCTGCAGATGTGCGAACAACCTTTGATTAAACAATACAATTGCGCCGACTCTCTCACCTTTCGGTTCCATCGCCATTTTTCCCTGGGAATTGAGTTAACTGAAAACCAATGTCAGAGTGTGTGCGTGGGAGTGCGTGCTGATTGTTCGACAGTGCATGTTGCTTGCGTCGAAGCGGATTGTTTTGTGATTCAAAAGCCGTGGAATAAGTTGGTCGAAGCAACTTCAGCAACTCACTCTTGGACTCAAACATGCAAGTCGTTCAACCCAAAGAATGTTTATGCCTATTTGGGCATCCACTCCTGAAACCACCATAGCCATGCACATGGGACAAACATTTTTTTGGTGCTGGCCAAGAAAGCACATCACGGTCCGGTGGAAGCCCCTGCGATACACAGGGGTTCCCCCAAATCTACCATGACAGGCCCCCGGACGCTGAACGTGCAGCTCGGCACGGGAGAACAGTGAGACTTCCTCGGAAGCAACCTGTCGAAGTGAGTTGGACTCCAAACGCGAGACATCTTAACCACTCATGTACACCGTACGAGGTCTGCGTATAAATAAATATTGTATAGATGAATTATGTCCATATGATGTCCGTGAAAAACAATCGCAATGCCATGTTCTTCTGCAAGCAGACCCGGCGGAAGTTAAGCACCCTGGTAGTGGTGGGCAGGACAACCCTCGGAGAATCTAAGTTGCGTGTGGCCCTTAATCGGTTCTTTTTAGGCCCAGGGGCTATGCCTCGGGGCTCTTTAAGACTCTTTAGGCCATGTGGACAAGACGTGTCATTCCAAAGATGCTTCACTCCCGAAGTAGCTCAGGTGCCAAAAGCCAGCCAGTTTTTTCTGCACTCCTGCTGCTCCAGAAGAAACCAACACGTCCGGCGAATCCAGAACCAACTCCAAAAGGCCCGGACCGATCCGGAGGCCGACTGGCGGAAGATCTCCTCCTCG